AAGAAACTGCAAACAATTCTAGTACACCATATTCTATAAGGAATGTTCTTTTTAAACTTCATCATGATATATAAGGAATCAAATTGTTCATTTACACAATGGAAAGATAAATTATCTCTGAGATATTATGTGTGTCTGAGGCCCATAGCTATAGAAAAAAACGTAAACATCAATGGCAAATTTTAAAATCAATACACAGAGAAGATGTTGATTCAAACATCCCACCCCATCTGTTTTAAAGGAGTTGTCCTCTTTTACAACTTTCTTCACATTTCTGTTATATAATTATATTTTCAAGACATTTTGCTTTAACAAAAGTAGGAAACATTTCAATGAGAGTTATGAAAAATAAAATAAGCCAAGGGGTCAGTAAAGTACTCAGAGGAAACAGCTTAATTTTTGAAGATGGCACATTAATTATTTACACACTTAAAAACCTGCAATCCGTTTAACCTGGAGCTGTGGGAGGAAGGTAAAGTGGTACTAGCTTTTATTGTCTGTAAAATCTTTATCCTCAGCAAATCTAAAAAGCAACTAGAAAACGGAAGTGAGTGATTTCCCCACGTCTACTGACTTAAAATGCCACACCAGAGAAAATTAAGAGATCACCTGACCTAATCACATTAATTCAGACCAAAGAACTCCGTCCTGTTGGCGGAGCGTTACCACGTTCTTGGCATTTGGACAGCTGGGAGGAACAATGGTCCTACTTAATGGAAAGGTTCATTCCAAAGCTGACCCCATCACAGTGTGCCAATTTAACAGACAAGAACAAGGATGTAGAAGACAAACTAATAAAAACAAACTAGAAAATATTGATTTCAATGCAGAAGCATGGTGTTTAATTTAAAAGACAGCTCTTCGGAAAATCCTTTCTTCTCTTGTCAAACAAGCACTGAAACTTGTCTATCTTTCCAATCATTTAATTAGAAGAGAGACAAAGGAGTGAGACTCTTTGCTTTCAAGCAAACAGTAGGGCACAGAGTAGAAGCAGGGTTGGGATTCACGATTCTTGTAGATTACTAGTTTTAATTTCTACTGCCTGGAAAAGAGAGATATCCTTCCTTCTCATACATTTAGCTTTTTTCTCCTGTTCTCTCAAAGGCAAAGCAGAGAGTTCTAAGTCCAACTAATAGCTTTTAATTTATCATGAAGGTATTCTACAGGGCTAAAGTCTTTCACTTTATAAAGTCAAATACTTATACTCCATGCTGTTTTCTAAGTTAATACTACTTGGAATACAAATGAAAGTACAAATTGCAGTTGATTGATTCTGTCTGAAGGCAGCAAATTTGAGTCTTCTGAGTGTAAAGGTTTATATTTTTTATTTGTTTACCTGGTTTCAAAAGATAATTTCATTCACTAATATCTTAATATCTTTGACCAATATTAGGGAATACAAAATAAAAATAAAGTTTTCAAGTATGCGTATGTGAGCGAAAGTGTAAAACTCTTATATATTCGTTGATGTAGAGAGGGCATGTTAAGTTCACATAAGCATATCCAAATTAAGATTTAAGCAAAACAATAGTGACCAAGTCAAGTAATATCAAGAGTAAAAAATAACAAATTTTAAGCATATGATTGCTTATCATGGCGATGGGACAATGAGGGGCGGTGGTGTTCAGGTGACCATTTGCTATTTTATTTCTATCTCCCTGAACCCTAGGATTATTTAAATGTTTTAGGTAAATTCCTGCTACTTTCTAAGTAGGGTAAATGCAAATATCCTGAGCCACATTAGATCTATGAATAATTTTAGTCATAAACGATTTTGCCTCAGGGGTATAGACACACTCATTGTCTAAATAAATTTATCCACTTCTGTCACCCTGCAAGGGAAGTCCATGCACAAAATACCATTGTTCATAAAGTATAAAGCCAGAAAGGATCCATTTTAATTCCTATAGATATTGCTTAAATAGAAAATTTGGTGCCCCAAATTTAAAATTCTAGAATAAACCTCACACAGATCTCTTGTCACATGTAACTTTGAAGTCTTGTCAGCACAGCTCCCTAATTTCTATGAAGCGCCCTGAGTCAGTGTTTTTTTGCAGCATTATTGTCAAATGATTCAGGCCCTGCTTTAAAGTATATGTGAGGTTCCTAATCAATCCCAGGGCCCTTAAATTGGACGCTACACTATGCAAAATTTTCTCCTCCAAGCATGTGAAGTTTTAAATTATATTTGCCTTTGATATCTTTATTTTCCTTTATTTTAGAAATACCACAAGAAGGAATAAAGCTGCTATAAATATGTGTATTCTGGTGAAGGAGGAAGGACCTAGCAGGAATTTGAGAGTGTGTGTGTATGGATGTGTGTTTGTCTCTGTGCGTGTCTGTGGGTATATAAGCTCTTCTGTGAGAAACAGAAATGTGACTGGGCACTGGGGGAAATTCTAATCAAATTAAAATATTTCCCAGCTTAGCATTTATTTATTAACAATGTGGAGTCTCTTGTATATCCACGTCAGGTAAAATTCACTGTTGTTCGCTACATACATTTTCATAGTTCTTTGGTGTTTCTTTCATCCTAAGTGTCGTGCTTCAACCCTTTATAGAAATCTGCCTGGATTCTGCAATTATGACCTCAAAATTATATTATTTTATTATTTCAGATCTTTTATATAATATGGTATACATCTCTATTGTAAAATGGATTAATTGTCTGAGGTAATTGGAAAATATAGATCAATCAAGAGTATTGTGAAGAATAAACACAAAGCTATGCGTATATATTTGAGACAGATAGAGAAATAGAAAAAGAAAGCCAGAGTGAGACATACATATTTATCTATGTATTCACACATACCACGCAGCACCACACACACACATTCACTCATGCACAGAGCTGGAGAGAAGGAGAAAGAGTGGTTAAGTTAGCATAGGTGACTGCTTGAAGGCGGTTAATTGAAATGCAGAAAAACTTAGATTTTTCAGGGAGCACTTTCTCCCCTGATTAAATAGTCCAATTAACAGTTCAAGGATGGCAGCCAAGGATGGCTACCAAGAAAAAGAGGAAAATAAAGGTGTATCCACTGACCTCAACAAAAAATTTTAAAAATCTAGTTAATGAGTCTAGTTTTGTGAAGACAGCACTTCACTACAACTGCTATGAGATAAGTCAAGGTAATAAAAACATCAGAGAAAGTTAAAATTCCATGAGATCATAAAAACTGTCAAGAGCTCTAGAACTTCCCTTCACTTATGAGTGCAAAGTACACAATGGGAACATGTGAATATGGATGAAGCAATTTTTGGATAAGCGTGTAATATCCTAAAAGCTATCTCAGGTTTATGTCGATATCAAAGCTGAAAGCCAATAGGCAACACCAAGGTTCAAAGACTGTTAAATATTGAAATTGTATCTGCTTAATCCCCGAGTGCATTTCTGTCTGAGTTCCTCACTTGCCCACCAACCAGCAACTAAAATACTAGTGCCAAGGGCCCTAAAGTCAATGTCCTTTCCGATTTGTCTGTGCTTTGTGCCAACAAAAAACCCTCAAGCTTTTATTGCCCTGTCCCCCAACTCAAGAAAGTCAATTTTTGCCCCACACGCATGCCTCCTTTCCTGACTTTTTCCAGGAGTCTTAAGAAAGAAAAAGAAATGAGTCAAATGGGCAGTCGTGAGGACCACTCCAAACACCAACTCGATGGTGCAAGCTCCAGCTTCTCAACAGGATACTCTCATGAGAGAAATGAGGTCATGGACGACAGTAGGGATGGTGGTAGTGGGTTGTGACCGAGCCCACGGATGCCCAGTGAGGATCCCCATTCAACAATCTTTGTTGAATTCCATTGCCATTTAATAGTACACCTTTCTTGAAATCCACACAGGCTCTCATATCTGGGCCATTAACAATATTAGTATTCTCTTTGTTAAGAAAAATGAAGAGTTAACCTTTACAATGTCTTCATTATGTGTCAAGGACATTCTGAACACACACATGCACACATAGGCACACACGCGCACTAGTGTAATTTGAGCACTAAAGTCATCATCATCTCAATCGTTTAGATGAAGGAAAATTGGAGGCACAGAGAGTTTATTTAAAATATCGAAGAGCAGAGGCAGGATTCAACCTAAACAGCCTGAAAGCAGAGCCTGTTTTCTTTAATTACCGTGCTGACTGCTCTCACATTGCCCAGAGGCCTCAGTTTGACCTCAATAGATATGATCAATATCCCACGAGGTATTCCCAAACTCAAGCGTTTGGGAAACACTAAGTCAAACGTATTTCATTTTTTCCTTTTTGTTTTTTGCTTAAATATAGGCCTCCTTGGGTACTTTTAAAATACTTGTCAACATAATATGTATCACGGTTGCAAATCAAGTAATTCAAAAAAGATTGTGCTTAAAATAGTCTTCATCAATTAGTCCCACTCCCAGGCTGCTTTTAACTATTTTGTTTTTGTTTTTGCTTTTTAATTTCAGCTGGTAGTTGACTTTAATGCCCTTTATATTAAAATAATGACTTTAATAACTTCTAAATAATGTGTGATTAGCACTATTTCTTGATTTACATAGTGTTGAGGGTAATTATATCCCTTAAACAGCGAGAATTTAGTTTATTTGTGACTATAACCTTTCCCCTCTACTTCATTCTAAAGTTTATAATTACATTTCAGTTCTTCTTTTGCATATCTTTTACTTTTAAATAACCCCTCTAAGTGTTCTTTGTCTACCACCTCTAGTCAGCCTTAGTGTCTGGATTCTACTTTTTCTTCCACCATTCACACCCACTTCCCTCCATCTATTCCCACCGGAGACACACGGCTTTGCTTTTATATCACTAAGGCTACTATTTACATTCTCTTCTGCAACCACAACCAGTACCTTCATATTTGAAGACTATTCAAAACTCAAATGATGTGATATCATGATATTATGCAAGACTCAATTTTAGCCATGGAATCATACATCTTATAAAGTAGCTTCTTGTTCAGTTGCATATTCTTTCAAGGAGTAAACAATGTGCCAAGATGTCAATCTACAGTACCTGTAACTTTCAGCTTTTCAGCCCCAATGGTAATCTCATCTTCATCTGCAGAAAACAGCACCCTGCCATCTTCACTCGCTCTCACTTCAAATCTTTTACACTGAGCTTCCACAGCATCAGCTCCTATGATCAGAGGAAAGGTTTGAAAATGAAACTGGTAGACAGGAAACCATTAACATGTATTTTTTATTAGAAAAAGAAGAGAAATATATATATTATTTTGTTAATCTCTGCAGTGTTTTACACCTGGATCATATTTTTAATTGTTATCCTTTTCAAGAGGCTGTCTAATTTGATAGAGTATTGCTGGGCTAGGATGGTTGGGCATAGATCTGGTCTCTAAATGCCTGGCATAGTCCTAATAAGGTTTGTAGGTTTAGCCAGTTAAAAACTCTGCATATACACAAGGAGAGACAATGCCTGGTTTGCTCTTGGTTGCAACCCAAAGACTTGGCATTATACCTGGCACAGGCTGGGTGCTCAATAAATACTTGTGGACTGAATGGCTCTCATGTTTTCTCTCTGCACACAGACACTAGGACCCACAGTTTCCTCATCACAGCATACTTATAAAGCATTATTCAGTTGTGAAGCTTTACTTACTCTACATTTCATAGATTCTAATATTGAAATTTGTTCCCCCTCTATTATCACTGATTGTGAAGCCGTATTACAATCAATCTTGCAAATAGCTACATTTGTTCTTTTTAGTACTTCCCAATGTATCTTCTAACCAATAATTTTCTTGATTTATTAAAATATAGTATTAAACGAATGTAATTACATCATGAAATTGGAAATCTATTTCCAATCTGTTGGACAATTTTGTACATTAATCTACTCACATATTTGGAAAACATAATTAATTTGAGAGCTAAGAGGGCTTCAACAAGAAGATTAAACTGGTCAGAGGTTGAGGAATTGTTATTTCCAGAACATCAATTTGTCTCTTTTGTTATGTGGATCTATATCTTCCCCTCTTGTTAAGATTTTGAACATCTCTCCTCTGCTATCAACATCAGAAACTCTCATCAGGCACAATCCAGCCCAGCCAGGGATCTAGGCATATGACACTTTTGCATACTTCTTTTTTTATCTTTACATATGCTATAGATTGAATGCTTCTGTGTGTCTGAAATTCATATGTTGAGATTCTAACCCCCAATGTGATGATATTAGGCATTTGGGAGGTAATTATATCATAAGGGTGGAGCCCTCATAAATGAGATTAGTGCCCTTATAAAAAGACACAAGTAAGCTTGCTTTCTTTCTCTCTGCAATCTGCCAAGTGAATAAACAATAAAATGCTAGCTGTCTGCAAGCCAGGAAGCAGCCTCTCAGCAGACACTGGTCATTTGGCTCCTTGATCTTGGACGTCCAGCCTCCAGAACCACGAGAAATAAATTTCTGTTGTTGAGGCCAACCAGTCTATGTCATTTTGTTATAGCAGCTCGAACGGACTAAGAAAATGTACTGCTATCATTTGTTAAATATACGACCCTCTGAAATTCAAAACATGAGATTATCTTTGTATTCCAATATATCCTCCAACTTTAAAATTGTGTCTGGTTTCTAGTGGACACTTAGTAGAAGAATGTTAGGTGGGTGAATGAGCACTAGACTTCAGCTTTCTGTCCCTTTCCTTTGTCCTCAACCCCGTCTCAGCCCTCCTCTCAATTCTACCCCATCGGCTTTAGTAACTTACACCTTCCCATCTCCATAGCTTCTAAAGAGGTCTTGACAAAAGGAAAATTAATTCCAAACTCTGATAATGTGAGAGATAATTGCTCTGAAAATAAGATGTATAATTTTCTTATATTCTGAAACTACCTACATGTTTTCAGGTCCACATATAAAATTTGAAAAGCTTCAACTGGGACAATGCTAAATAAGATAAAACTGGTGTTAATCTTGTGGACGTCAAGTTCAAAACAGTGTGAATTGTATTTTAAAATCTATTGTCTTGTAAATTTTTTTTTAAGCAAAGAACTATCCTTATGGAATTTAATGACAGTATTAGAGAAACCATGGCAGACCTATTGTTCTTGGTCACAGTCATTGCATTTGATCTTCAAATATATTTCGGCAGCTTGTATTCAGTTGAGTGTATTTTCTTCTAATCCTGGTCTATCCTTCCAATATTGTGCTTTTAATCTTTGAACCATAGTAACCCAACTGGATGATGTTCAAAAAGCCAATGTGTGGATAAATGTAACTTCTGAGTTTTGAGGCCTCTGTGTTTCAATCTATTTTCAAGACACTCAAGCATACATTAAATCTGAACCACCTGAAAGATATTATAGATATTATACACATAAAACCTTAAAATGTATACTATGTTTCTTCCTTCAAATATACTTAATTATTGGATGAATTGATCCACAAAATGTATCACTGATTTAATGACATCAAAGTGCATTCAATTACTGTATATATGTATAAACACATATAAATGTATTATATACAAGCACATACATACACATTATATGTACACATACCAGTAAGACTTTTCTTGGCATAATACTTAATGTCATTATATGGGAGATACTTTATTAACATAAAATTGCTATATTGTGTGTCACATAAACTATGAGAAATATTAGTAGAGTGGGTATGGCAACATGAGTTGCAATCTTAATTCATTAAATTTAAATAAAGAACAGCAAATAAGAAAATATTTATGCACCCAGAATAGAAGGGATGCATCTATGCCATAAATAATTGCATGTAGAATCATCCAATTGAAAAAATAGATTTATAAATTAATACTGCAGATTACACTTTATTCAACATATTAGTATAATTACAGGAGGCAAAATTGCAAGCAATTAGCAATGCATTGATAGTAAATAAACATTTTAAATCAGAAAATAATTTTGAGTATATTGTGCTCCATACACTGCTTTTCTTTTCTGTAAATGGAAAATAATAAATATATGTAATTGGACATATATTGCTTTGTTGTGAATGTTTATATTTAAAGCTAATATATTAGGCTATATGAAACTGAATTTACTATATCCTAACATGCTTCGGGGTGTCTTTTTCTGTTTTTCATTTCCGAGTATCACATATTCTCTGGGTTGAGTCAAGTCAGGATCCAGTTGTTCAGAGGGGCAGTAATGTCCAGTTCAATTTCATCTCACCCAGTGATGCTTCCAGAGTTGCAGGAGGGCAAAATGCCTGAATGATTTTTGGTAGGAAGCTCTGATTCCCGAGCAAATAGATCATGGGAGGTGGAATTATCCAGGCAGTTCTATATTTTATTAGTCATCTTAAACACCAACTTGCTAACTGATGTAGGAAGACTAAATGCTTCCTTAGGAATATCTCTGAGGAAGCTCATGTCAGCAACTTCAAAATCAAAGGGCAGTCAGGGATAGAACAAGTGAAGAGAATTGGCAGGAAAGAGAGAGAAAACATGTAAGCAAAATAATACATTCCATAAAAGGAATAAAGTATCTAACATACATCCAAATATTTTCTCTGGTTCTTTTATATATATTCTGTATATATTCTTATACATTCTTTATATATATTCTGTATATATTCTTTAAAAGCAAACAAACAAAAACAACAACCAGTTTCTTGTTCCCCTCAGAGATGGCTCCATTGCCTTTCTGGAACGTTCACAATTCTTACAGTCATATTTAGTAGCCAAAGGCACGTTTTGCTGACAAGTAGAAAGGCTTTAATAATTTCTCTACTGTCTTTGCATTTTCTACATTAAATTAGTCAAACACATGAGTTGGAAAATTCTCTTCAATAAAAGTCTCTAAAGTGCTCAAAAAATATATTTCCATGGGGCTTCTTGGCACTGTTTAGTCCTAATTTAAAAGAAAACAAGGCAAAGATCAAAATGAATATGTCTGATTATCTCCGGTGTGTTTTCCTCGAGCATATCATGATGGATCCTTTCTTCCCATATAACTCTAATTTTATATGTCTGTCAATATTTTCAAGATCTGGAACAAAAGTATTATTAAAAGATTGGAAATTCCCATGAGAAAAACAAAACCAAGCTTCAATACAGTTAAGTAAATTCAGTGTTCTGAAATTCCTAATTTAGAATTATCATGGGCTCAAAAAAAAACAAAACCAAGTTTGAAACAAAACAAAATAAGCTGCTTTCATGAAATACAAATAGAAATAAGCACTGTACTTTGCTTTAGTTACATTATGGGTGGCACTAAAAACTCACACGAGGAAGAGTATGCTGAGCATCCTCGGGGAGAGGAGAAGAGTCAGAAGGAGAGCTGGGTCACCAAGGGCCAGCAAGGGAGGCTCCTCTCAGAAGAAGAGATATTGAGCCTTCAGCACTTGCAGTCCTCATAGGATCCTGCCAGAGACCAATCCTTGTTTCTTTTTCCGCACAGGAATTGTCTTCTTTTTTGGAATTGGATGAGTAACCATTTTTCCTCCAGCAAATAAAGTAGCGATACGAACTCTGAGTCTACATTCACCCTTGTATCCCTGTCGGAGGCTCCCTGCCACCACCTAGCTGAAGAAATAGCTGTTGTCACCAACATAGGTGAAACCGCAGTGTAGTCTTTCCTTAATCACATCTCCCTTCATCCGGGGGAGCTCAAGATGTCAACATTATCCTCAAGTGAGTTTTTATCACTCCCGTTTTATAATTTTACTACTCTTGTATGAATCCTTAAAAAACATTTTTCTTGGGGCTGGCCCCGTGGCCGAGTGGTTAAGTTCGCACGCTCCGCTGCAGGCGGCCCAGTGTTTCGGTGGTTCGGATCCTGGGCGCGGACATGGCACTGCTCATCAAACCACGCTGAGACAGCGTCCCACATACCACAACTAGAAGAACCCACAATGAGAAATATACAACTATGTACTAGGGGGGCTTTGGGGAGAAAAAGGAAAAAATAAAATCTTTAAAAAAAAAAAACATTTTTCTTAGTTTCACGTGTCTTGAATTATACATATATGTACCTACTGTGTGTGTCTATACACACACCTTTATATTACTTGTATTTTTCAATGACTAGTTTTTTTTCATAAAGTATTAGATACATTAATTTCTATACATGTAGCTTTGGTTTATTCGTCTTCACTGCTATGTTCTGTCATATGGATATACCACAAGCTAGTGATCCATTTTCCAC